CAAAACATATTCTTTATGGTTTTAAACAGACTATACTTTTATACATGTCTGCTGTAAGAAACATTTTAATTTTCTTATTAAAATATAGCAAAGTTACTACTTGCACTAGTGTGGTCAGGAAACTGATCAGTGTCATCTGTTCCTCCCTGGGCAGTAGCCCAGCACTAATAGTTTGTTGGTTGAGTCTAATGGTCATCAGAGAAGAGGGTGAAGGGAAGGTCTCTTTCTAGTGGCCGTGAATCCCTCCAAAGGACTGTGACAAACACAGCATCCTGATCAGAGTTCTTGACCATGACCATAAAGAACTCCTGGAATGGAGCCAGCTAGTCTTATGACATGCTGCTGGGGAAGGTATCAGTTAACCCTAAATCAGAGATTATGGTTCCTGAATTTGGCCCATCATCAACAAGCTAGATAGGTATGGTAGTAGCTGGGCCAGGGCTAGATTATACAGGGACTCCTCCAGTTTGCTATTAAGGGCATTAGATCTTGGAAAGTCTCTTTCCATCTCCTCCTTGATTTGGGGGTTCACTCAGTTACCTTTACATTCATAGGTCAGAGGTTCTCTGCCTTTTAAGTACCTCCACCCACACTCCCTCTTGTTTTCTAAATCTGAATTTGTAATCTGCTGGGTTGTGTTGGCTTTTAACTGGCTCTCAGAAACCCCTAAGGCTAAAGCCTTTAAAAGGTCAGCAAAGTGCTTTCCCCATCAGATTTTACTTCAAACTGGGCCCTTCCTGATTTCTTTGCGGGACAAGCAGATTTATCGCTTTCTCCGAGTTTCCTGAAGGGCTGTACACTCATGTATTTCTGTCGCAGCGTTTGTGTTTTAGGGCTCGTGTGTACTACATGGAATTAGTGCATGCTGGTGCAGTGAAGGTAGGTCTTGAGTGTTCCTGCTGGTTTATCAGTACCTTGGGGGTTGCCCTTTCCAGTAAAGCATGAACGAAAGAAGCAGATGAATCAGAAAACATCTCTTCTCTGCTGTTCACATGCTCAAAGTCTTTAAAAAAAAAAAAAAGAAAAAAAGTAGCCTCCACTTGGTATCCATTTTTCTCAAAGTGAATTCACTGGTTGTGAGAGGAATTGGCTGAACAGTCCGGGAGAGTGAAGTCGTCGGCTATTTTCAGAATGGATCCAGCAGGGCAGTAAAAGCTCCAACCCCATACCCTACCAATGTGTCTCAACCCCTCACCTTGAATGACTAGTTCAGGGACCGGCAACCTGTGGCCCGCGGCCCGCCAGGGTAAGCCCCCTGGCGGGCCGGGCTGGTTTGTTTACCTGCCGCATCCGCAGGTTCGGCCGATCGCATTGCACTTCGCTGCTCCGGGCCAATGGGGGCTGTTCGAAGCAGTGACCAGTACATCCCTCGGTCTGTGCCTCTTCCTGCAGCCCCCATTGGCCTGGAGCAGCGAACCACAGATGTGGCAGGTAAAGAAACCAGCCCGGCCTGCCAGGAGGCTTACCGTGGAGGGCCGCAGGCCAAACGTTGCCGATCCCTGATTTACAAAGACATCATTTCCTATATTCAAACCATTATCAGATAAATGTGTTTTGTTTTTTATTGGAGAGAGCTGTGAATCATTTATTAACATGTTCTGGTACTTTTATGGAGGTGATTTCAGAGTAGCAGCTGTGTTAGTCTGTATCTGCAAAATGAACAGGAGTACTTGTGGCACCTTAGAGACTAAGGTGCCACAAGTACTCCTGTTCTTTTTAGGAACTGAGAGCTTCTCTACACTACAGCACCGCAGAGGCACGGCGGGCAGCCCCACATGGGAATGACAACTGGGGCTGTCAGCCCTGGGGCGGAGGGCTCTAGCTGTGAACCAGGCACAGGGCTGAAAGCCAGTGGGCAATGTAAGTAACACAGTGTCTACAGGGACACTGCATTGCCCTAACTACATCGATCTAAGCACTACTCCTCTTGCAGAGGGGAAGTTAGTAGGTTGGTGTAGTGGGTCACGTACATCGGCAGGAGCAACGTTGTAGTGTAGACACTTACAAAGTTAGGTTGACGTGTAGTGTAGACGAGACCTTAGTTTGAAATACTGTGAACAGATACTGTGTCGCTTTAAAGACACTTATTTTGCTTTCCACTGATATAAATTTCATTTCATTTCCTAAAACCAAAGCGCTATTCAGCGAAAATGTTTGTTTTTTTCTTATCATTGAAAACTTATTTAAATTTATCTACATTTTTAAAGTAAGGTGACATTTTACTCGTACTGTGAGTCTAATTCTGCTCTGCTTCTTTCACTGATGTAAGTGTAGATTATAAAACCTGACAGTACCTTCGGTAAAGTCAATGAAAACTATTTATTTAAATGGAAAAAATGTTGAGCCTATTGACTTCAGTGGAGTTACATATTTGTAATCGATGTAACTGAGAGCCAATTTGGCCTTACCTATTGAAAACCCATGCACCACTTAGAAAATATAGAAGACAGTAGCAAATGTGCGGGAGTGGGTACATTTGTATATCTAATCTATGACAAATACAGACTTTAAAATTTGAATACTAGGAGAGAAAATAAACATAAATTATAGGAGTAGTCATTTTCAGCTATTACTATCTAATCCTAAATCAGTGGGAGCAATTCAATTTTCTGTTTTCTCTGTGAGCACTTTTGCTTACGCAGCCTACTACCTTCCTCCTCTGACAGTGAAGAATGCTTAGTTGTTTTCAGTTCAAGGTCACTTTTTATTGCTGAGTGATAATTTTGAAAAGGTGTGTAAAGATTTCTGCTGGAGTTAAGATTCTGGCAATGTTTGGCTGGAAAGTACCATTTAAATCAGTCAGTATTGATTGTAAAATTTGAACACTGTACATTTTACAAAATGAACATAGCCATTTGTTTCAGAAGACACTTCTGTTTTTCAAGGATTATAAAGTGTTTCAAAAAGAACAAAGACAGTTTATAGGTAAACACTTCAGCATACTTTTAAGTACTACTCAGATTATGGGGAATTCCTTTACAACAGGATAGGTATCAATTAACCCAAAATAACATTGTTCCATACAGCATTTGTGCAATGGACAATTTTGTGACTTGCTGTATATGTTTTGACAGGTTTCAGAGTAACAGCCGTATTAGTCTGTATTCGCAAAAAGAAAAGGAGTACTTGTGGCACCTTAGAGACTAACCAATTTATTTGAGCATAAGCTTTTGTGAGCTACAGCTCACTTCTTCGGATGCATACTGTGGAAAGTGTAGAAGATCTTTTTGAGGAGGTATATTTTCATGCTTTGTGTGTATAAAAAGATCTTCTACACTTTCCACGGTATGCATCCGATGAAGTGAGCTGTAGCTCACGAAAGCTTATGCTCAAATAAATTGGTTAGTCTCTAAGGTGCCACAAGTACTCCTTTTCTTTTTGTATATGTTTTGAATTTGTATCACTTCTTCCTCTGCGCTCTCCCTTAGTAGATCTCATTGTTTTGTGACTTCCTGCTGCTACTATTAGCATAGACATTATTTCTGCAGATGAGCTTTTAAAAACAATTTAAAACACAATTCTAAATTCAGTACTTTGAAACTGATGCAGAATATAAATAAAGCTGCTAATGCTATCAGTAGCGCTTTAAACAAATTAACATACTAATTAACTGTGTAATCCTCAGTGTTTTTGCCAAGTCTTGATCTCTAATTAATTACAAAACTGCACCTCCAGTGCGGAGGGGGGTACATGAGTGCAAAGAACCAGAAATTCAAGGAATATTAATAAATTTGAAGCCAGACAAGACCATTATGTAATGATCTCAAAATGTAATTGTAAACAGGGAATCATCATTGAGCAGGTGTGTTTCTAGTGGAGTGCCTCAGGGATTGGTTCCTGACCCTATTCTATGTAGCATTTTTATTAATGACCTGGAAGAAAACACAAAATCATCACTGATAAAGTTTTCAGATTACACAAAAACTGGGGGAGTGGTAAATCATGAAGAGTCCAGCTCACTGACACAGAGAAATCTGGATCACTTGGTAAGATGGGTGCAAAAAAACAATATGTCTTTTAATGTATGTAAATGTATACATCTAGGAACAAAGAAAGTAGGCCATACTTACAGGATGGATGGGGGACTCCGTCCAGGGAAGCAGTGATTCTGAAAAAGATTTCAGGATTGTGGTGGATAATCAGCTGAACATCAGCTCCCAGTGGGAAGCTGTGGCCAAAAAGGCTAATATGATCCTTGGATGGATAAACAGGGTAATCTCATAGGAGTAGAGAGGTCATGTGACCTCTGTATTTGGAACTTGTGCTACCATTGCTGGAGTACTGTGTCCAGTTCTGGTGTTCACAATTCAAGAAGGATGTTGATAAACAGGAGAGGGTTCAGAGAAGAGCCATGAGAATGATTAAAGGATTAGAAACATGGTTTATAGTGTTAGATTCAAGGAACACAATCTGTTTATCTTAACAAAGAGACTTGATCACAGTCTATAAGTACCTATATGGGGAACATGGGTGTGGGGGGGGTAAATCTTTCCCCCAGGGAGGCTAGCCCCCTGCCCTGCCTCTTCTGGTGAAGGCCCCGCCTTTTCTGGCCAAGGCCATACCCCCACTCACTGCTCTGAGGGAGAGGGCTGAGAGCTCAGTCAGGGCCATCGAGGGGCGGGGATGCTCAGAGCTTGGCCCTGGCTGCAGTCTAGCTCTCAGCTCCGGTCAGGACCGCAGAGGAGATCTCGGCCCTGGCCAGAGCTCCAAACATGGGGCCCCTCCCCTGTTTTGCCCATGGCCTTGCCCATTGCCCCACCACATTCTTCCCCCTTCCCCGCTGCCCGACCCCAGATCTGCCCCCCGCTCCACCTCTTCCCCCCAAAATTGTACCATGTTAACTATCCTGGATGGAAAAAAAAAAAGGCTTTTTGGCATGTAGAGAGTACGAATTCATTAGATGCATTATTCAAAATGTTATATATTTTGAGGTCATGAAGGAATACTATTTATACACTGATTAATTTTTTATAGTAGTTTCTCTTCCTTTTTTAAAACAGGTCATTGCCATAATTATGGATATGTTTACAGATGTGGATATCTTCAGAGAAATTGTAGAGGCATCTACCAGAGGGATTGCTGTGTATATTCTGCTTGATGAGTTTAACTTCAGTCACTTTCTTAAAATGACAGAAAAACAGGGCTTTCAAGTTCAGAGATTCAGGGTAAGGCTTCATGTTTTACAATAAAATACATATTTACTACAATACCTAGCTCTTATGTAGTGCTCTTCAAGGATATTATTTTTGTAGGAAGTAAATATCTAATATTGATTTATTTTATGTAATATAATATGTAATTTATGAAAAAATAATTGCTATCAATAGGCTCAAAGCACAACTTTACACTATTTTTGTTACCTTCAAATTTTTTTTTGTTCTTTTCAGGACTTTGCAAAATAAATACATGCAGTACATTCTATAAAACTACATATTTTTTCTGAGTACTATTATTATTTTAAGAATATTATATTCTGGAAGGACTTAATCAATTTGTTTTTATGTTTGTAAATCAGCCTGCAAAATGTAAGCATAAAGAAAATATAAATTGTTTAGGAAAACAAAATATGGGCTTTCTTTTTTTTAAAAAAAACCCATGATTTCCTTTCAAGAGATTCTATGTTAAAATTATATCAAAAGGCACAGGATTCCGTTTTTTCATCATTTTCCTATGAACAGCTTTACCATATATATGTCCTTGTATCATTAGATAAACTTCTATTTATAAAATATGTGCCTTTCTCTGCCAAGAAAAATCATATGTAAAGGGATAGAATCTAAATACTCCAGAAATCATACTGTATGTCCTTAGTGTGCCATTGGGAGCACAGTCCAATACAGTGTACTTCTATTGATCTTACACAAATATGTGGGATGTTCTTCTAGGTCTGTTGTGCCAAGGAAAACACTAAAAAATATTGAAGCTGCTCAATGATAGCTCTCTAAATTTCCTGTGAGATACTATAAGCAGCTTCCTTCATTGAACTTGAGCACTTATTCATTTGCAGTTCTTTGTAAATATACTAAGTGTGTAGTTTTTAAGTTCTCGACTGTTACGAGACTATTTACAGTGTTATCATATCATCAAGGAGTTAATGCAGACATTTTAAGAGTCCTGGAGGAACTGTGATATCACAGCAGTCATGTTGGATTCATTTCTTCTGAAGAGTGAGCAGTTGTAGTTACTTCTAAAACTTTGTTTTCTATAGGAAGTATTCAAAATTGCTTTTGCAATAGATACCCAAAGTTACATAACTGAATTTAAGACTGTTTGAAAATTAATTCATAAAACTAACTTAATTAAAGATATTTAGCAATGTAATGCTTAGTTTTTGAAAAAAGTCTTCTGCAACATCTGTAGTGTGCTAGTTATCTTATATATATATATATATATATATATATATAAACCCCAAAACCTTCCATAATGGCATTCATATGAAAGGAGCTTGTGACCACTGTCTTTAAGCCACTTCCTCTAATGAAAAAAATGGCTGCAAGCTCTCTCAAAGCTATGTATAAAGAGACATTTGTAATAGAAAATGAAGCTTTAAAAGTGGCTACAGGTACCAGTGTGATGAGACAGAAGTTTACTTTTGTTCCCGGCTCGGTATCTTATGGAAGAATAACCACCAGTTTGGGTTGGGGCTGCCCCATTTCTTAGCAGTTTGTCCTGAATCTGGTATTCTCAGCTGTGACCCACTGAGGCATGGTGACAGCTTGCTATGTATGTTCATTTGTCTGCCCATAGAAAGAAGGGCTGTAAATTCAGGAGGGTAAATGTCATCCAGTAATAAGCACTTGCATAACATTTTTCATTTTCAAAGATCTTTATAAACATTAATTAATCCTCATAATTCCTCAAGTGTTTACAATATAACCTAGTTAATCTGCACTTTGATAAACTTGTCATTGAAAGTTCCAGTCCAGCGAAGTAAACAAAAAGTGAAGTTCTGCTTTTGCTGTGATAGGACCAATGCATATGACATCACACTCCCAGTGGAACAAGATTCCTATACTGTCATATTGCCTTGGACCTGAACTTCTGAAGACTCTAAGAAAAAGGGCTACTATAATTACTGTTCTCCCAGATGCTCATTGTGGCGCTGCTACTGCCCGGGGGAGGGGCCAAGCTCCTTGGAACTCTGATCACTGCTTTCTGCACCCAGAGTTCTAACTTTTACACTAGAGAACTAGCTCATTGCTTGTAAAGTCTGGAGAGAAACTGGCAGCAGCTTTGCACGGAGTGAGGAAACCTTTAGAAAGATTTTCTCCAATGCTTTGCTGTCACCCACTTCAAGAGCAGCTCTGAGAACAACTGTTTTCATCTCCTCTGCATTCCTCAAGGAACTGTGCCCAACACCAGGGCTTTATTCTAAACTCATCTTTGATAAGTTTTCAAGGTTCTTTTTGGCCAAACTTTCAAACCTGGGTGCTCAGAATTAGACAAATAAGGCTAACATTTTCTATCTTGGTGACAGAAATCAATAAGAGCTGTGAGTGCTCGGGACATCTGAAAATCAGACCACTACTGACAAAGGCATGGATTTAGTGCCTAAGTATAGGCACCAAAGATTTTTTGTAAGTTATTTAGACACCGAGGGCTTGTCTTCTCTATCCCCCTAAATCAGCGTTGCTGCCATCAATGCAGTTGTGCCGATTTAGTGAGTCTGGTGAAGACACATGATGTTAACGGCAGAGCACTCTCCTGTCAACATAATTACTCCACCTCAATGAGATGTGGAAGCTATTTTGGCGGGAGAGCGTCTCCCACTGACAGCACGGCATAGACACCACTTTAAGTCGATGCAACTTACGTCACTCAGGGGGATGTTTTTTTCACACCCTTGAGTGACTTAACTTATATTAACTTAAGTGGTAGCATAGACAAGGCCTGATAAATGTTTGTCTTCATTACAGTTGATATAGGTGAGCTTTCACCTCTGAAGGATAGTACAGATTTTGAAGAGAAAAAAAGCCTCCAAGATCCGAACTTTGGACTAATATTTAGACTTTTAACAGTTGAACCTTTTCCATACCACAGGAGCATTTGGTGCTAGCTGTACAAACAGGTGGACTTTATTTTTTAAACCAAACATTTTCTTCCCTTTTAAACTATTTTCACAAATCTCTCCCAGGTGAAAAGTACCGCCAAATTCATACTTTTCAGTACAGGAATTCTATGACTTTCTAGAAGAGGCATCAATTTCTCTCTTAAACAGGCACTATCAATTTCCAAATAAAATTTCACCATACATAATTGTTGGTGTCATTTAACCATAAGGGATGTCAAATTATACCCTAGATTCATACTGTAAGATTCATCTCTTTTGGTTATTTTCTTATGGTCTAATCCTCTTATTTAGGGTCACATTTTCTTGAAATAAGGCCATTGCACAAAATGTACATTGGTGTTTTGGGATAATCTTGTATTTAGTACTCACTGTTCACTGTGACCTAGAGCATAAATGTCCACTTTAACCAGTAGATCATTAACTGGAACCTGTTCCCCGCCACTAATGAAAACAGATGTAGTTAGGGCATTCTTACATCATTAATTTATAAGTGAAGTGTGGTGTCGTAGATGAAGTAGGAAGAATGAATACACTAACTCTTCCCATAACAAGCAGAATTGAACTAAGGTATGGTCCATTGCCAGAGGTGCCTTTGCCATCTCACTTTTTTTGTTTTTCTTCTTCTTCTGTTTTAATTTTTTATTGTCTGCAGTGTTGCTGTAGCCATGTTGGTCCCCTGACATTAGACAGACAAGGTGGGTAAGGTAATATCTTTAATTGGATCAACTTCTGTTAGTGAAAGAGACAAGCTTTCAAACTACAAAGAGCTTGAAATAATAAATTCTATGGCTACGAAAAAAATGATAAGGAATTGGTAGCACCCTTGAAGGGGTTGGCCGGTCTGTAGAGAAGTCACCTCCATATCTCTGCTTCTCTTCTGTCCAAGGTTCTTAAGGCTGGGCCACTATCAACTCTTTGTGTTTAGGTATACAAGATGTCCCTCAGCTCCACCTCCTCCTGGTCATTGGATGAGAAAGAGGAGAGGGTAGAGTCGTATGGATATTCTCTCTTCCTTCAACCTACAGACCCAGCAGCAGCCATTGTTATTCTCACATGGCTTGGCTCACCTCTCCAGGAGCATGGTAGAGACTGTGTCCATCTTCCTAAAAACAGGCATTGTATAAAAAAGGGAGTGGGGCAGTAGAGGTAGCCTTTGTCCCACTCTAAGCCTCTTCTAACTCTTCTTTACTCCACTGAAATAAACAAAATTAAACTGGTATAAAACTGGAGTAATGGAGTGGTGAAACAGGCCCTATATTTTGAGTTATGACATTTACCATTCACTTGCCTATTTATGGAGAAACAAATATTTATTCTTAACTGCATTTAATAGCCATGCAGAAATCCGCATTCAGCTATATTCTGACTTCATGTCAGTACTTGTTCATCTGCTTTTTTTTTACACACATAACCAGGAATAGTGATAGACTGTGTTGTAGAAAGGATTATTGTGGTATATATGGAAGAATGTACAAGTCAGAAATTTAAATTGACATTTTTTCTGCATTTTTTTTTCAAATGGGGAATGATTTAAAAATTTTAGGAGGGTGAGTTTATTTGAAGCTATTTGAAAATATCATCATTAGTTGATTGGCAGCCAAAAGAAAGTCAAACACAATTTACAGAGTAACAGCCGTGTTAGTCTGTATTCGCAAAAAGAAAAGGAGTACTTGTGGCACCTTAGAGACTAACCAATTTATTTGAGCATAAGCTTTAGCTCACGAAAGCTTATGCTCAAATAAATTGGTTAGTCTCTAAGGTGCCACAAGTACTCCTTTTCTTTTTGCAAATACAATTTAAACATTGTACCCTTCTATTCCTCAAAATCTCTCTCTCTCTCTCTCTCTCTCTCTCTCCACTTTAGACTTCGTAAGTTTATCTTAACCCTCTCTTCTCTATCTTTCCCTCTATCTCCTGCATTGTTTTTTCTCTTCCTCCCCACACAACTTATTTCAATAATTTCCCCACCCATCTGTGTAGGGAGGGAGAGAGGAGGAAAGAGTCATCAAAAATCCTCTGAGGTTTTTTTTTCAGATGATGAGGGCCGTCTATCTAATGAAAACTGTAGAGGCAAAATATTTTCAAAACTTATTA